TGGAAGGGGTCTAATATAGGGTTGCCACCTTTTCTTTCTGCGAAACACGAATGAGTTGTGGCTTATTCATATGTAAATAGCTCCACCCATTCATATGTAAATATCACAGTCGAGACTATTTTCAGTGGGGGTCCAATAGCCCCTATCTTAATTTTGGTTGCCCCTGTCTGGGTTTCAGCTGCCATGAAACCCGGACACAGCATTCAAAACCGGACTATCCGGGTGAATCACGGACAGGTGGCCACCCAAGTCTGATACCTGAATGGAGGGGGTCTGATTCCTGAATGGGAGGGTCTGATTCCTGAATGGGAGGAGTCTGATACCTGAATGGGAGGGGTCTGATTCCTGAATGGAAGGGGTCTGATTCCTGAATGGAAGGGGTCTGATTCCTGAATGAGAGGGTTGGCTTCATTATAACCATCTTGTGCAGGGGAAGCCTAACATGAATTGTAATTAATTTACTTGTACCTTCCAGACTTCTGGGAAAATCTGTGAACCAATCACAGAAGCAGAAAATGTTCCAGGTGTGTGCTCTACACCTCCTTTAGGCTGCATATCTCCCAACTTTCTAAGATGGGAAAGAGGGACGCCTCCCAGCACAATATATTTATGTCATGGATACGCCCCTGCCACACCCCAAGTTAGGCGGACCATTAAGAATTTATATGCTAAAAATGATTGGTTGAACCAACTTTTCCTTTACACTGGCAACAGGGACAACTGAGGATGATGGACAGTTTGGAAGTAGGAGCTTGCCATATTACATTGAATTTTTGATTGGTATAAAAAAAATTACATTAGCTTTATATTAAAGGTCTGTTCACAGCAGCAAGCTGCCCTGAAAACACAATGTGGGGGGGAATTTATCAAAACTGGAGCAGACAAAATCTGGAGCAGCTGTGCACGTCAACCAATCAGCTTCTCTCTTTCATTTTCAAATCTTAACTGAACAAACTTAAGAGAGAAGCTGAATGGTTGCCGCGGGCAACTGTGACAGATTTTGTCGGCTACAGTTTGACAAATTCCCCCCCAGTGTGCTTGACAGGCACAGTGCTGACGTAACAAACGCACATCTCACTGGTCTGGTGTGAATGGGTCTGAAATAAAAAGGTAATTTTAATATTAAGTTGCAAAATGGCCTGTGAAGCAGTTTTGAATGCTATATTATTTAAAACAAAACAAAAGTGGAGTGCTCCTTTAAGTAATTTCCTAAAATGGATGTCTTAACCTGCATGCAAATTTTTTTTTTTTTAATTGCCCCACATGCAAAGTGCTTAAACCGAGCAGCCATTCTGAGCGTATTATTAGACACAAACACAGCCCCATCGTACTTTTGTCGCCCAAGTGTCCAGAACCCTTCCACGCTTCCGCCCTCGTGGTCCTGTCCCTTTAAACATTGTTTTCCAACGTGCGCTGAAACTTCCGGGTGCCGGTGACGTCACATGGGAGGTATTCCCCCCTCACTTACACCACCCCGTTTCCTGTGCGGCCGCGCATGCGCAGACGTTCCCTTTAAACGTGCGACTTGATGGGAATATCAAGTCCGGCTCCCTTCCCGGCCGGTTTGCAGTGAAGCGCTAGATCCGTCCGCCGAGGGGACTCTTTGACGCGTACGCCGCAGAAGATTGTCCCCGGCCTCCCCAGGTTGTCTCTGCTCCCCGGAAAGCGTCTGGTTCTGCCTCTTAGTGCTTCCTGTACAGCCCGTGGCCTCCTAGGAGCCGTCCGGGGCCCGAAAAAGGGCGGGGTCACCGGAGGGGGCCGCGGAAGGAGACCCGGTGATGCGTCTTCAAGATGGCGGCTGCGGAGTCTGAGGGGGTGAAGCGACTCTGAAGGGAGGAAAACAACAATAACAAGGTGGAGAGGGGGACGCCTGAACGTGGCTGGAGGAACAGGGTGAGGGGGACGGGGTGTCAGCGGCTTGGGGCCCGGGGCCCCTTCCGTTCCTGTCAGGCTGGGACCAATGAGGACAGAGCTGCCCCTGACTTCTGGGCAATGAGCAGACACAGCAGGCCGGGAGACCGTGTTCTGCCACCCTGGGGGGGGGG